ATAATAATACAGGTGGATTCTCTCATCTACCCAAATCTTTTAGTTTGCAATGATTTTCTCTGTAATAATTTTTTTTTTTGGTTCCACATATAGGGTTCCCTCCGCATTTTATAGGGGTTCTCATCAACACTACTGATACTTTTTTCAGTTCCTTGAATTTTGTTTTTCAGAGAGAGACAGGTGGAGAGAGTGTGTGTGATGTTTCTACACAATTTTTCAAAAACCTCTTTGTTTAAAAAAATAAATAAAAATTGGATTTAAATCTATGCACTTGTTGAAAATTAACTTATTGTTATTGCAACCTTGCTCATGATACAGTACCTTATTGTTTGACTTGGGCTGTCGCGGCGGGGGAAAGACAACGTGCGACCTGTGCTGGTCCACCAGGCCCTCGAGGTACAGCCGACTCTCATTCCTGCTCAGCTTGAGCTCGGTGAACATCTGGGCTCTTTGCTCCATCACCAGCGTTCTCTCGTACGTGTAGGCCGAGATGTCCGCATACTCCATCTCCACAATCTCGACCGAGGCGTCGATGCGGAGCTGGTACAGGAACCGCTTCACCTCTTTCTGCATCTGCACGGAATTGTCTTCTATTTGGGCCACCGTGAAGATCCTCATGCGGCAGTTTTCCCACGTCTTGTGTTGCCTCAGCAGGAACGGCAACAGCATGAGGAGACCGCCGTCGTGAACGATCCACCACACGTCGATATTTCCCGAGATTCGATCCCTCGAGTCTGGGTAGAAGGAAATGCCCTGATGACCCGAGAAAGAAAGAAAGAAAGAAGAATCAATGATTATATACAGATTGACAAATATGAAGGACAAGGGAAATGCACCAAAATCTCATCGCAACAAAAAATGTTTTCAATACAACAACATTCATGTTTTTCCAAGTCCCGGCAGAAATCCTACACACGGCAAGTGTTTCTCAGCCTTTTTGAGCCTGCGGACCAGCAAAATTCCCACAGAATTTTTAGAAAATCGGAAAATTTCCCAAAAAGTTTCTGCCGACTGGCAAAATTTCACAGAATTTCTGCTGACCCAAAAAAAGTTTTGCTCGAAAGACTCATCCATGGCAGCAGGCATTTAAAAAGTTTCTGCTTTTTATAAAAATCTAGAATCAATCAAGTCTAGCCA